TACATACATTACACACATTACATACATTACACACATTACAGACATTACATACATTACACATATTACAGACATTACAGACATTATACACATTACAGACATTACATACATTACAGACATTACATACATTACAGACATTACAGAAATTACAGACATTACAGACATTACACACATTACATACACTACACACATTACATACACTACAGACATTACAGACATTACAGACATTACATACATTACATACATTACACACATTACAGACATTACATACATTACACACATTACACACATTACAGACATTACACACATTACACACATTACAGACATTACAGACATTACATACATTACATACATTACATACATTACATACATCCATCCATCCACGTACGCACGCACACACACAAATACCCACGCGCATATGTACATATATATATAAAACCTTCTTTTCTACAAGGAAACTATTGTGAATCTGATCCCAAGAACAAGACATGTGTTCACATTCTGTAATTGCTATATGGACGACAGTGCTGGCGCTGGTTGCTGACTGCAGAATCATTGACCTAACGCATCCATTAGCTGCCAACACTATCTACTGGCCTGGGGTCCCTTCGTTCAACAGAACTATCGTCCAAGCTGGGGGCGTTGGAAGCAACAATGTGTGGTATCTGGTTTTCTCATTTCAGTAACGGTTACATTATGCATTATTTTCCCTAGAAACACAATTGTTGCAGGTACTCACCACATAGTCTAGTATGGTGCAGGTACTCACCACATAGTCTAGTATGGTGCAGGTACTCACCACTTAGTCTAGTATGGTGCGGGTACTCACCACATTGTCTAGTATGGTGCGGGTACTCACCACATAGTCTAGTATGGTGCGGGTACTCACCACATAGTCTAGTATGTTGTGGGTACTCACCACATAGTCTAGTATGGTGCGGGTACTCACCACATAGTCTAGTATGGTGCGGATACTCACCACATAGTCTAGTATGGTGCGGGTACTCACCACATAGTCTAGTATGGTGCGGGTACTCACCACATAGTCTAGTATGGTGCGGGTACTCACCACATAGTCTAGTATGGTGCGGGTACTCACCACATAGTCTAGTATGGTGCGGGTACTCACCACATAGTCTAGTATGGTGCGGGTACTCACCACAAAGTCTAGTATGGTGCAGGTACTCACCACAAAGTCTAGTATGGTGCGGGTACTCACCACATAGTCTAGTATGGTGCGGGTACTCACCACATAGTCTAGTATGGTGCGGGTACTCACCACATAGTCTAGTATGGTGCGGGTACTCACCACATAGTCTAGTATGGTGCGGGTACTCACCACATAGTCTAGTATGGTGCGGGTACTCACCACAAAGTCTAGTATGGTTCGGGTACTCACCGCAGTCTAGTATTGTGTGGGTACTCACCACAAAGTCTAGTATTGTATGGGTACTCACCACATAGTCTAGTATGGTGCGGGTACTCACCGCAATCTAGTATTGTGTGGAAATTATATATATATATATATATATATATATATATATATATATATATATATATATATATATATACACACACACACACACACACACATATTGCCAGTTAGTGTATAAGTTGTTGCTGTTTTCTTTCGCCACATCTCCAAGCTTTCAATTTGATGCTTTGATCATTTTTGTTGTTTTGGTTTCTTTGGTCATAATGAATGGTTTATTATACTTAACATTTGACAATTCACAGTTTTAGTGTTTTCTATCTAGATGTTACAATTGTTCTTTCCATCTCATGTTGAAAATATTTTGACTACTTTCTTTCTCTGATTTATATTTCTACTGCCATTATCTGGCAAAGATAGAACGTAATAGTTTTTTTTTTTTTTTAGTATCCGTTTCTTTACTGTGTTATAATTGTTGGCTGCACTTTACTAGTTACTGCTTGTCATTTGAAAGCTCGAATTTAAAAAAAAAAAAAACGAAACTCTAAATTAAGTTTTAAAGTCAAATTACCTAATTTTTTTTTTTTTTAGTTCTAGTGGTACCTCAGTTTTTAACATATGCCAGTGAAAATTTGAGAATCGCAACGAAATAAAATATATATGAAAGCGAATTCCTGATGAAATTGAAGAACATTAAATTTGATGAATTCTTCAAGAAAGACAAAGAAATAAATTAAATGTCTCAACTACCACTGCATTCAATAATAAGATGAAGAAGGCGGGCGATGGGAGCATCACCACGCAGTCACTGACATAGGAAAACAAATGGAACTAGGAGACCGCCCCTGCCCCCCCCCCCCCACCCAAGACGATGCGAGAGGTTAAAGGTCCTGGACTGGATGCCATCAATGTATGTTATTCAAACAACTGCCCAGGATAGAAGTTAGAACAGTGCTTTCCTACCCCAAACAAGGGAAATCCACAGGTCACAGGAGAGTCTAATATTTTAGGGGGTGGTAGATAGGCTGCATGCAGTCGTGGGACCTAGGCGGCATGCAGTCATGGGGACCTAGGCGGCACTCTCTCGTGGGACGTATGTGGGTTAGGGCCAGTTCTAGATGTTTTGGGGTCATTTAAAGCATCAGAAAGCCGGGAAACCCAGTCTTACCACCTTCCGTATAGTTTTGGTTAGGGTTAAGGTGAGGGTTAGAGTTAGGATTAGGTAAACGCGCGGAACCTTAGCCTTAGAAGAATCGCGCTAAAGCACAGAAAATTCAGGAAAACCTGTTCTTACCACCCTCTTAAATACTGGACTCTCCCGGGATGTCAAAAAAAGAAAGCACTGGGAATTCCTATGGATCCCTAGGGGTTTTCCAGGACAGTATCATATATATATATATATATATATATATATATATATATATATATATAATATATATATATATATATATATATATATATATCTATATATATATATATATATATAGAGAGAGAGAGAGAGAGAGAGAGAGAGGGGGGAAGAGAGAGAGAGGGTGAGAGAGAGAGAGAGAGAGAGAGAGAGAGAGAGAGAGAGAGAGAGAGAGAGAGATTTCCCTACTAAATCTAGAAGCACACGAGATATGGTCGTATAAAGTTAAAGTACTGACGATACTTTACACGACTTTCTATTGTCAAGTATTTCCTCTAGTGTTTAATTCTTTTTTTTACTTTTAGAGAATTCATCAATTCCTGCGTGTCATATTTATTTTTTCAGGATTGAGGTTGGGGCATTCAGCACGGGCGAACATGGCGGCACCCATATTGACGTCCCACGTCATTTTAACATTAGCGGATATGACCTCAATGACCTTCCTATTGAGTTAACCATTGCCGACGGGGTCATGATAGATGTCAAGGACGAAGTGGCCAAAAACAACGATTACGCTCTCACTGTACAAAAGGTATCTATAGTTCGTTCAACATCTCATGAACACACTTGCAAGCTATTTTCTCGAAAACTGCCTGTTAGATCGCAACGATTTTTTTGCTTGCAGTCTTAGAATATCCATGACCCAAATAATGGTATTCTTTAGTCCATAGATGCTCAGGATGCTGAATACCAGCCTATTCCTTTGATCTTTTCGAACCATTGTAAATGAGTGGAGTGAACTTTTAGATTTTACATCCAAAATCTGCATTTCTGGTTCTATTTTTTTTTTTTTTTTGTCAGAGGAGTGTCTTCACAATACATTGATAGGTGAATCTTCCAGTCAAAATGGACGCTAGGCAGGGGCACAGTTTGGAGCCGAGGCAAATTTTTTGCTTTTGCCAGACGGTGGCCGATGCATTTTTGCTCCATTTGTAGACTGGATATAGTTTCGTCGCCCAGCTTCTGAGTTGAATGCATGGCGTGACACTGTGAGCTGCGCATTTCATTTAATATGTTTTTTCGACTGTGACCAACGTGGTGGTGTGAATTGTAGATTCAGAAAATGGCGCGATCCATGTTGTCGCAATGTTGGTGGTGCCCTTTGGGGTTAAAATTAATCGCGTGGGCAACTGCTGATCTGTTAGTGACTTCTGCTACCATCAATGACGAACTGCATTTCTAATGTCGGACTGTCTGTGTTAGCACTTCGGATGGCTACCGTATGCTTTAATGCGTATGTGTGTTTGATATACTGAGACAGCAGTCTGTCACTCTTTCCACAAGGGACTGTGATAAAAATTATGTGTGTTTTTCTTTGGCACAGGAGCGGAGCAAAGATGGGGTGACCCGTTTGCTATAAAGCTGAAACTAAGACTACCAGACCAGACCAGGTGAATTAAATTTAGTTGTTGCCCTTATGTTCAACTAGCTGAGTTGAGCGGAGTCAAGAGGGACATCACAGCATTCGGGGCATCTCATATGCGCTCCGTCCCCATCATCAGCAGCCAGCACAGAGTTCCAATACTTATGGTATCGGACGCAGTCTGAGTATATATGTCCATCTTGCCATTTCTTTGAGTGTAGTGTGCCCTCTGATTACACAGTGTGTGGAATTGTATGGGTGTATTTTGTGGTTTTGTTGTATAGATCTGTTGTCTGCATCAATTGTCTGAATCTATTCTCTGAAACTATTGTTTGCATCTATTGTCTGTATCTATTGTTTGGATCTGTAGTCTGGATCTATTGTGTAACTGTCTGCCCTTTATACTGACAGCTGAGGTTAAATAGTGACTAGAAATTTGCCTTTTAGCTTGAAGATCTAGGGTTCGATTCCGCGAAATCTTTGTTTCAAAATTGACTTGGACTCCGAAGTCAACGTGGCCTAGAATGACTATATGTCCCTTTTTTACCAGGACAGTCCCTTCCTTTTCCTGGCCACCTTGTCGGATCTCCCCCAAAACTTAAATTGTTCCGTTTCATACAAATCGAATCTAGGAATGAGCTGGAGAATAGAATATACAATTCTATTTATACACATATACAGACTGAAAAAAAAAATATTTAGATCTATACGCTACATTAGTGGAACCAATAAAAAAAATAAGGCCTAATTCCAACCAGAGCGACAAGTTTTAATATAAATTAAATAGTATTTTTTATACAGTTTATAGGCTTATGTAATCGCATGTTCTTAAAATGTATTTCTTTCTTTATGATTATTAATAATAATTTTTTGTAGACGTGGACGTGGGGGGGGGGGGGGGGGGGGGGGGGGGGGGGGAAGGGGTGGGTGGGATGAGGTTAAACGAAGTTGTTTAGGATTCCAGTTTTTAGCTAATATATTAGTGGCATGTCCCATTTTCAGCTAAAATATTAGTGGCGTGTCCCGTTTTCAGCTCAAGATTTTAATGTCACCCTAACCCAGCTTTGAAGAAAAGATACTAGGTAATGTCCTGGGAAGTAAAGACGGCCGGCGTGATGTTTATTATGTCACCTACCGACTACTGATTGATCCACATAGATGTCTAGCATCATCTGCTCGATGCTACGCCACTGGCACAATAAGGGTCCTTTAATCTGTACCTGTATCTGACTGGCGACAGTTTGTCTCTGCCTCATGTGCCTCTGGGCGCGATGAGGATTGATTGATTGAATCTGCAACAATCAAGGGAGCATGGGATCCCGACCATTTCGATCCAAATATTTATACCTTCTCATAAATAGTCAGTCAGTCAGGTAGTCAGTCAGTCAGTCAGGCAGTCAGACAGTCAGTCAGTCAGGCAGGCAGTCAGTCAGTCATTCAGGCAGTCCGTCAGTCAGTCAGTCAGTAGCATGTCCTTTGCAGAATCGGGTTCCATAAAAACCCTTTGAAAAACTTCTCGATCACAGGCAAGCTGCCCTGCGTCCGAAACACCAATCTGGAGATCATCCGCCACATCCTGCACCCATCTTCTCTTTGGCCTTCCACTTCCTCTCTTCCCAGGCATATACCCCTCCATTTGTTTTCTCTATAATCTTTCGAGATCTTTCACGTGACTAATATAATTCAATTTTCTGTGTTTTATCGTCTTTAATAGCCAACCTTCTTCAATATTCAGATTTTGAAGCATGGATGCACTTGATCTTTTCTTCGTCCTTGATATTCTTAGAACCTGTCTATAATGTGTGTATTCAAAGGCAATTATGCGCTGTTCCGCTTGCTTAGTAACTGTCCAGGTCTTATAGGCGTATGCACAGTAAAGGGGCGTAATCATGCAGTAAAGGACAGCCACCGGTTATCTCGCCTTTCAAAACACAAAAACTGTTAATTCAGGCCACCCGTACAATTTAATGGAGATCTGTGCCCCCTCCTCCTCCCAAAACCCCGTGGTTGCATTTCAAATATATTTTAACATTTTTTTTTTGTCATTCATCAAAAAATAAAAATAATTGTTATTATTACGGAGCACTCTAACAAGGTTTCATTCCCTGTAGCAACCCCCCCCCCCTCACGATTTCTTAGCAGTGGTGCGGCTGGCTGAACCCATGTTTTACTTCTCATGGCTCATCGTTGTGTTCGTGTAAGGCTGAGCACTATATCGTTTTTACAAATCGGTCTAGATGCCGTCAAATCCAAAACATTGGGGCAGGCAGGCAGGTTTTTACCAACTGCACCTTCTTAAGTCCCGACTGGTGGTTCAGTCTAAAAAAAATTGTTCACACTTTAACTTTTCTGGGATCCTCGCCGGTGCTACAGTGCCTGTGCACTGTGCTGAGCTTCTTCGGACTTAGACTTGAGTAAGTAGAAGAAGGGAGCACTAATGGGTTACTACCGTGTGCCATGATGCTGATCCGTTGTTGAAAACCTCAAACATTTCTGGTAGTTAAACTGAGTTGAGAACCGACATCATCCTATGATAAACATTCTCACAAGCGCTTCATTCATATCTTCGACCTGTGGCATAGGAAGAGAGTTGCGAGCCGCACAGGGTGTCATCACAGTAGAGTTGAGGCGGTGATATTATGGCAAAATATGCCTATTGTATAATAGTATCAACAGTGATAAGACAGAGAAGATGACACTACATTGGACCCATCTTGAGAAGACACCAGCAGAGAATCACCAAACAGGGATTAAAATGAAAATTAGAGGGATTAAGGAGGCGAAGATCCCCAAAAGAAAACCTAAGACGAACGTTGAAATAGGCCAAAGCTGCTGGACTGGACTCAATCTACGACATTAAACTGATTGCACAGGATACAACTAAATGAAGGAACAGATTGCGAGCCCTATGTGACATAGAATGGCACAACATGATAATGAAGGTATGGAAAGCTACCAGAAATCTGCAGCACAGAGTGTAAGTTGTATGGATCTGTTGTCTGCATCTATTTTCTGAATCTATTGTCTGAATCTATTGTCTGAAACTATTGTTTGCGTCTTTTGTCTGTATTTATTGTTTTGGATTTGTAGTCTGGATCTATTGTTTAGACTAGCTAGTTAGATTTCTTATATGCATCTCTTGTCTGTAGATATATGGTATAGATCTCTAATGTAAAGCTATTCTGTCCATCGCTGGTGTCTATCTAATTTGTGTGTGTGTGTGTGTTTGTGGGGGGGGGGGGGGGTTGACCGGAAATGCTCTGCACTAGGTACCACCAGGTCTTGCGTAGGCGACTGTCTTCAACAGCCAGCAAAGAGTTCCAACTCCTTTGGTAGCATAAGCAGTTTGATTGTGTTGCCTGTTTGTCTTGCCTTCCCTCTCAGTCCATGGTCACTCCCCGTTCCGACTTTGATATTTTAATGTGTGTGCATGTTTGTCTGTCTCTGTGTATATGTGTGTCTGCTGTCACTCACTCTTAACGGGCCTTCCCCCACATCGAGCTTGATATGCCTCACTTTACTGCCAAGTGGTGCAGAACCAGCTACTCTGTCTACATGCTCCTTTCCCTACACACCTGAATGGGCTGAAGAACATATTCAAATGACGATAACTTCCCGGGGCCTCTGAAAGGACACTTGCCACTATTCGCGGAGCGTACAGATCTCAACCTGTCCCAGCATGCTGAGTCAGTTAAATATTTTTAAGGCTAATTTCGCCCCCACCAGTAATTGTAATTTTCCTGTTAGATCCAGGAATGGGAGAACCAGCACGGAGCTATCCCAAACAACGCCGCAGTAATGGTGAACACTGGCTGGAGCTCAAGATGGCCGAATTCCCAACTGTTCTTCAACAGTAACACTACCACAAACCAGTCGTGAGTATCGCTAACTATCGTCTTATCGTTTTGGTCATTGTGTTCTTTTTATTGCACTGACAAGACTTCCACGTGGCTGCATTTGGATACGTGAGTTATGTGATTCTGTGTATTCGTTGGGCTTTGTCTGATTTATGTATGTGCTGACGACGGCTCTATAGCCGCAACGTTCACGTTTTGTATGCATGTGTTATATTGTAAAGCTCGCTGATATACTTTTCGTTCGGTTGTATATCTTTCCTTGATATCGTAATGTATGATCGATGTTACGCCACTTTGTATACGTGTTGAATTGTTAAGCTGAGTCCAAAACTTAAACCAAATTATTCGGGGCATTCCCCTACTCCCTTGATCGTCATCCAGCTAGCGAAGAGTTCAAGTTCCCATCGTTCCCTGTGGCAGGTTTTTTACCGTATTTTTCCGTGTACACGGCGATAGGTTTTCCTATATATTTTAAGTTTAACATTGTCTTGTCTTTCTGTGAGTGTCGGCCATATCCGCCGGGACACCATTCTCGCCCCATATAATAATGTTCTATTCGCGCTTACCACGTCCGACTTCGGCTATAAAAACCATACAGCTCAACGGGAATTCCCGTTCTTGTGCAAGTGTTTACAGTTTTTATCGAGAAGATGTATGTATACACAAATTAAACTACAGTTTCATTAATTTGCAACATATTTTATCGAATTTTATGTCATTTTGAAGGTGAATATGTGTGCTTCTAAAATATAACACACAAAAAGGGCTCTTACAGACAAACAAAAATGCTTTCGCTACAGTCAACATAAACATAAACATCAATAACGTGTAGAAATAAACTGGAAAGTTATTCTAGCAAAAGTTAAGAAACACTTATATCCTGTGCCCATTTTCGTGTTCGGTCGGCACCTGCCCCTCCTTCCTGGTACCATGCCTTCTGCTATAATTTTGTCCAATCCGTCGATATGATATGACCAAAATATTTCAGCTTCCGGATCTACACAGTAGTACTGCAAAATAGATATACACAAGAGATGTACAAAATAGATATACACAAGAGATGTACAAAATAGATATACACAAGAGATGTACAAAATAGAAATACACAAGAGATGTACAGAATAGATATACGTTAACAGATCCGCACATAGATGTACACAGAAGAGATCTACCTGGGTGGGCTACACAACAGATCCAGACAATAGATCAACACAGTAGATCATACAATAGATCCACACAATAGATCCACACAAGAGAAGTATACAATAGATCCGGAGAGTAGATCCACACAACAGATCCAGATAATCGATTCACGCAATCGGTCCACTCAAGAGAACCACAGAACACACACACACACACACACACACACACACACACACACAGTGCGTCCACACATTGTCCTGCAAATGCCAGCCAGGCACTGCTGGGGGCAGAATACATTGTTCTCTCTCTTTACACTGTGTGTTTTGTTCTTTGTGCTGTATCAAAAGTTTGGGATAAAGACTTTAGACATCACGTTTACTTGCGTCCCCCCCCCCCCCCCCCCCCCCCCCACCCCCCCCCCCCCCCCCTTGTGTACGTCTTTCGTTGAGTTTCTAGTTAGTGAAGCTGACACAAAGAAAAATTGCGAGGGAAAGAGGTGGGTGGTGATTGGGGATGTGGAGACTACGGAGGTGGCGGCGGGGGAGACCTTAGCACCTTACATATTTTCCTAGTGTGCCTCAGGGTGTTTACGCTGTGTATGTTTAAGTGTATACTAATAATTTAATTAAAAAAAAAAAAAACTAATAATATGATGTACTAAATGTCAGATAAATATTACCGTAATATTTTTGAAATAATAACATAAATTATGAACAATCGTGAAGATAAATTTCTGTACATGTAACCTGGGGGTGGGGGCGAGACGGTAGTTGAGCTGCTTTACAAAAATCTATATAGGG